CATCTTGGGTAGTGATTTCTACACAAGATTTTTCACCTCTTGCACATGTCTCTTAATTCCGCCTCTTGTTTTTCTTTTGATTTGTTCAATCTATTTTTTTTTATGCAAATAAATTCATTAAAGGACGAAACCCTAGTACAATTGTTTCCAATACAATCAAAATTAAAGGCATGAAGAGCAACATCAGGTAAACAGAAATCCCAATAATGAGGATTTAAGAGGGAGAGACCAAGGTGAACTAAAGCATCCGCAACAAAGTTTACTTCCCTGAAAATATGCTTCCAGTTAACATGACTAAAAGACCGAGCCAGGATACGAATATCATTGATTATAGAGCTAACTCTCCAAGGAATCCCCCAGTGACCCTGCACAACTTCAATGATGAGTTTAGAGTCCCCCTCCACCATCACTTTGGTGAAACCCTTGCGCCTAGCACACTGGAGCCCTTTTTGCAAACCCATCGCTTCTGCTACTGCAATAGTAGCGCCATCAAAGTTTAGAGACCCCGCCCCAATCATCTATGAATTACTGTTACGGAGCACAAAGGTAACAGCATAACAGTTGTTCAAAACTGAACCAACAAAATTGAGTTTAATCACATCATGCCGGTCAAGAGGATGCCATTTAATAAAGAAAGAGATATGTAAAGCCTCATTGGGGTCACACTTCCCATTAGCCTTGAGAAAAGCCGAACCAACACTATACGCGATAGAAACACAACGCGCCAGGACTGGGGGCACACTTCTGAACACCAGTTTATTTCTTTCTATCTAGATTTTCCAACAGTTCAGAATTACTTTACTAAGATCAAAAAGGCCGTCTTTGTCATTAGAACTTAAGCATTCCATCCAATAAAAAAATATCATTAGTACTTATGTTACCATTATTAAAACTACCAAAAGTTAAGCTCTAAACTTTAGTAGCAAAAACACAATTACAAAAGAGATGACATTGATCTTCTTCGGCTGTATTACACAATGGACATAACTTATCAATATTTTTAAGAAAACGACTTTAGCGTTTTTTGGTTTGCAACCTTTCCTGAATCATAAGCCAAGCAAATATTTTAATCTTAGGAGGAATAGTTAGCTTCCACATTTTCTTTAACAATGTAAGGCGATTACTAGAGGGATTATTCTGATTTTGTAGCCAGGTAGTAGACTTAATGAAAAAGTTCCCATTATTGGTTAAACCCCAAATTAACTTGTCTTTTGACTTTTGTAGAGGGAGGGGAATGTGACAATTTTTTCTAATGATGTCATCATCAACTACAGTAGCTAATTTAATGCTATCCCAACTATTATGAACTATAAAGTTGCTTACTTTAAGATTCCTATCATTCACAGGTATTAAATGAAAAAGGGGGTAAGGAAAAACCCATTGATGGGTCCAAAATAGTATGTCTTCACCATTACCCCACAATCCATCTCATTGCCTCATGAATGATGTTCATATTAGAAAGAATGCATTTCCAAGCAAGTGAGTTGTTTTGTTTAATCTTCGAATTTAAAAAATCGGACTTACGTAAGTATTTACTTTTGACTATTTTAGTCCACCAATTTTCTTCGTTGGTTAAAACTTTCCAACCTAATTTGGCTAAACAAACATTGTTCAAATGATCAATCTGTTTGATTCCTAAACCACCCTAATTCTTTGGAGAACAAACCTTCTTCTAGGCCATTGGTCGGAGTTTAGTATTTCTCCCCCAAAAGAAATCTCTGCATTCTTTATCAATTTTAGTTGTTACCCTACTAGGGCACTCAAAACAAGACATTACATGATTCAGCATCCCGGTGAGATTAGAACTAATAAGAGTTAGCCTCTTGGCAACCCTTTCCAACCGGTAAGTTTTTGCTTCACTCGTTTAATCAATTCTATCTTGTTAACCGGATCCTTCCAAAAAACTATATTATGGATCCCTATTTACTTCCCAATAATGGTTTTATGTTGAATGCTCAAGATATTCACAATATTGTTCATATCCTAGTTGATAGTATTATTCGAAAAATAAATAGAAGATTTATGAAAACTTACCTGTTGAGCTGCAGCCGATGTAAACATCTTAAGGGTTTGAAAGACATTTCTAGCCCCTTTAGGGGTAACTCGAGCAAAAACTAGACACATCTGCAAAAACTAGGTTCGAAATTCTAAATCCCCCAAGGGATGATAGGATTCCCACATGGGATTTAGGAGTAGAAGCCAAACGATTAAAATGTCTAATAAGCAGTTCCATACATAAAATGAAAATGTAAGGTGATAAGGGGTCACCCTGTCATATGCCACGATTATGATAGAAATAACCAAGCGGAGAGCCATTAATTAAAATGGAGAAAGAAGTTGATGTAATGCATTCCATTATTAAGTTGATCCATTGCTCATTAAAACCAAAGCGAAATAGAACCTACCCTATCTAATCCCAATTTAAAAGGTCATAGGCTTTTTCCAAGTCCAATTTAACACCCATGGACCCCTTCTTGCGTTTCTTTACCTTGAAGCTGGAAAACAACTCATGGGCAATTAAGATATTATCATGAATGGAACACCTCAGAGTAAAAGCACATTGATAAGCAGAAATGCATAGGTGAAGCAAAGGCTCAAGCCTTTTAATAATAATTTTTGTTATAATTTTATAACTAACATTACAAAGACCAATGGATCTATAATTGGACACAGTTTCAGGATTATCCACTTTTGGGATTAAGGCAATATTTGTGTGATTAAAAAACCTTAGGCTTGAATTATTTTGAAAGAAATCTTTATTCATAGGAATAATAGTATCTTTAACCTCTTCCCAACAACCTTGGTAAAAAGCAGCACAAAGACCATCAAGTCCGGGTGCTTTTAATGCACCAATGCTATTCACCACTTCCCAAACTTCCTCATCAGAAATACATTCAAGTAGTTGCATATTATGTGTATGATCAATGCAAGGAGTTATGATATAACCATTGTAGCCAATGTTTCCTGAGAAGGGGAACTATCACAAAAAAACGTAGTTTAAATTCCTGCATAAAACTTGCTCTAGACCTTCCCCATAATTCCACCAGAAACCATTACTATCTTTAATAGATTTTATTTCATTTCTTTTATTACGGATAGAAGCCACTTAAACTTAGCTTTTTGAGCCCACATAATTTCCTCTTCCTGTAAAACTCTGTTAAGCTCACTTCTAATTTTAACCTTGTCCTCCATGCTTATAGAGTTATCTTGATCCCTCATAATTTTATTTTGAATATCACAGAGAGAGGTTAAAAGCTTATCGTTATGATCTTTGACATTACCAAAGGTCTCTTTGTTCCACTTCCTTGCCAAATACTTGAAAGTCCCTGCACAAGCAACAAACGTTTCTTATGGCCTTGAAGTCCAAACACTTTTGACAAAAATCCTAAAATTAGGATGACGTAACCACATAGCTTCAAACTGAAGGAATAAAAGCCTTTTCTAATAGGGTTTACATTATTTGTAAGTAAGATGGGACTGTGATCCGATCCAAAGATAGGAAAATTATGTAGAGAAAAGTCATGAAACTCCCTCAACCACTGAGGATTAGCAACACCACGATCAAGTCTCTTGTAAATCCTAGTGTTGTCACTATGACCATTGGTCCAAGTATAGGGAACATTGGAGGCAGTTAGGGAAATCAAGTCACCCCTATTTAGAAAGTTAATGAAGTTATTAATGTAGGTAGTAGTATTAGAGTAGCCCATAAGCTTTTCAGTGGAATCCACAATATTGTTTAAATCTCCAATTAAACACCCAGGATGGTTTGATTGTGTATGAGCTAAAATATGATTCCAGAGATTAGCTTGTATATGTTTTTGAGGATAAGCATAAACAAGGTTAATGAATTGCACTTTATCATTGTGCACAAAACTACATCTCTTAGCACTTAGTGGTACAAAAAAGGGCAGAAGATGAAAAAAAATGTGTGCAAACCATATTCCTATCATTTAGACCATCTGCAACTCTTGGGTTAAAATCTAACTCATAAATTTAGATTTTAACTCAGAAACTGTTTTTTTTTTTTTTTTTTTTTTTTTTTTTTTTTTGCTGCAATAGTTCTAGGTTAAAATTTTATCACGAAATTATTAAAGAATGAATTTAAGCTAATTTTTTTTTTCAAAATAAAATTTATGTAGATTATCATAATTTATTTTTATGAACATTTTAACCTAAAAAATATTCAGCTTTTGAGAAAATTTGAGAATTTACTAAACCGACCCCATAAAACATGTATTTATAGAGTTTTTGGGTGAATTTTGATTTAAATAGTTTTTAATTGTTTTAATAGTTGAATTTAATTTTGGGCCGTTAGATTTTTTTTTAATGTTAGATTTAAACATAGGATTTAATGTACGTAAAAATTTAAATTGCCCAAATTTTAGGTTTTAACTCAAAACTTATTTTAAATTCAATCATTGAAGAATAATTGAGTTAGTATAAATCCTAAATTTTGGTGGGCTAGCCTTTTAACCCTGGCATAAATTATGGGTTAAATTTGCCCAAATTTTGGGTTTTAACCAATTTGGATTTTAACTCAATACTTATTTTAGGCCCAACCATTAGAGAATAATTGGATTCGTTTAAAACCTAAATTTTAAGTTTTAAACCAATACTTAAAGATCATTTTAATAGTATAAAAATGAAATGTATGATATTAAAAATAAAAGGTTTAACAGTTTAGAAAATAAATTTGACGTCTAAGACCATCTCCAAATGAGATGTCAAATATGCCAAATATGATTGAAAGACATTTAGGTGTTCTCCAATGGAAATGTCATATATGATGTGATATGTGAGTCATTTGACTTCTTAACAGCAAACAAAGGAGTTAAATATATTTAATTGAATTTTTTAATACATGGATCCCATTAACAACCATACACGTGTAAGATCTTGGATACTAGGTCCCACATTGGACGTCATTGATTTCCAATCCAAATCAACCCTTGGTCAACCAAACCTTCTCCTTTCTCTCAAACATAAAGCCTCCGATTTGGTCCTACCTCTCTGTTTGGTCGGAGAACTGAGCTGAGCAGAGCAGAGCAGAGTGATCCGTTTTCAGACCGAACAGAACTGCGACAATGAACGCAGAGTCGGTGACATTGCTGTTAGTAAATCTGGCAAGTATTATGCAGAGAGCCGATGAGTCATTGCTGCCAGGGGTGTACAAAGAAGTTGGGGCGACTCTCCACACCGACCCGACTGGGTTGGGGTCGCTTACTCTGTTTAGATCCATCGTTCAATCCTCCTGCTACCCACTCGCTGCTTACCTCTCCATGCGTCACAACCGAGCCCGTGTCATTGCTCTTGGCGCCTTTCTTTGGGCTGCTGCCACCTTCCTTGTTGGCTTCTCTTCCACTTTCCTTCAGGTCTCTCTCTCTCTCTCTCATTGTTTTCATCTTTTAAATTTTTATATACAAGCGACGAACGAAAAAGGTGTTCTTTTTCCTTCAAACATGAATATATTGTGAGATGGAATAGTTACTTTCGTCATCTTTGGCGGTTCGTTATTAGACAGTATGTTTGTATGCATAGATCTACGACAACCCATGTTTTGAATTGGCTCTGTGTTTTGCTTTGAGTGGTTGCTTGAATTGGAAATGGGGAATGCTGTTGCATGTATTGCCATATTATATTTTAGGGAAACTGTTGATTTGATTTCAATCTTCAGCCATGTTTCCACATTGTGTATGTGTGGAGAAAATCATCTAAGGCAGCTGATTTTCAGGTCTTGTTCAATGTAACTCATACCGGAGCATACTGTGTGATGGATATCCTGTTTTACAAATGAGGTTTCTGGATTTTGTTTTACAATTAAAACAGTTTTGAGGAAATCAAGGACGTTGATGTAGTAATCACGTAGGATAAATAATATGATGTACAAGAGCAAACAGAAGTAGGACACTGAAGGTAAGTAAGTGAAAGCAGTAATCTGAATGAACGCCAATGCCATTGAAGAAGAAAATCGTTTGATGAGCCTGTCATGGATTGTTTTCATAGTCCATCATCATTTTAATCGTATGGTTCATTAGCAAGATCATTACTAATGCTGTAAATTTCGAAGAAAAAGTAGATTGGCCTTACCAAGTTTGAAAATGTGCTTATTAACATTACCAAAAATGGTCAAGGACTAATTTCAGGAATAGACAGATGTTTAGATTTATAAAATTATTTGACTTTGTGTTGTTCTTGTGAGATTTTATTTTATTTTTTATACTGCCAATTCACCCGTTGTAGATGAACAGAGAATATAAACATAATGTTGAAGTTGTGATTTATTTGGTTTCTCTTCTCTTCTCTTCTCTCGCTGTTTTAAGTCAGCAGTACGTATTATGATAGTGTCTGAAAATCCAGCTGTGTCCTACCATTTATTTATCTTATAGCAAAATCCTAATTTTGCTCGCCCATGACTGCCAAATCTCTTTCTGTATACTTTCTTCATAAATATGAAGCTAATCTAGGATGTTGCACCTGTGGAGATTGGAGGTTTGGGGAAGAGATCAGTTCATGTTTCAACATGAAGCTCATAGCTCTTGATAGGAGATAATGAATCTTAAACTAACCACAAGTAAATAGGCTAAAAAACTGTCCAATAAGTATGTAAGGTGTAATTCAGAACTGCAATGTTTTGAATCACTCAAAACTTTCAGCACATGAAAGCTATTGTTTTGTTCGTTTCTTTTCAAAAAAAAAAAAAAAAAAGCTATTGTTTTGTTGGATTGCAAGATTACAATTCAACACTAAGTTGTCTGATTTGGTCAATTAGGTGGCTGTTTCAAGAGGTTTAAATGGAATTGGACTTGCCATTGTCACTCCTGCTATTCAGTCTCTTGTTGCCGACTCAACTGATGAGAGCAACCGTGGTACAGCATTTGGATGGTTACAACTAACAGGAAACATTGGCTCCATAATTGGCGGTCTTTGTTCTGTACTAATAGCGTCCACTTCGTTCATGGGCATACCTGGTTGGAGAATTGCATTCCATTTGGTTGGTCTCATTAGTGTCATAGTCGGTATATTGGTTCTCCTTTTTGCCAATGATCCGCACTACATAGAGAGCAGCGGTAGAGCCAAAGATATAATTCCACATAAGCCTTTTTCATCAGAAATGAAAGATCTGGTTAAAGAAGCAAAGTCAGTTATTAGAATCCCATCTTTTCAAATTCTCATTGCTCAGGGTGTCTTTGGATCATTCCCCTGGTCAGGTTTGTCATTTGCTCCTTTGTGGTTAGAACTTATTGGTTTCTCGCACAAAGAAACGGCAGTTCTTTGGACCATATTTATTATTGGTGGATCACTTGGAAGTCTCTTTGGAGGAATCATGGGGGATACCCTTGCAAAACCCTTTCCCAATGCTGGGAGGATAGTTCTTTCACAGATAAGTGCCGGTTCAGCCATTCCTTTTGCTGCTATTTTGCTACTGGTGTTGCCTGATGACCCAACAACAGGCTTCTCACACGGGCTGGTCTTGTTCGTCATGGGATGGTTTACTTCCTGGAATGCTCCAGCAACTAACAAGTATGTATCCTTGACCCACTGTGTCCCTTTTTACCATGGCTTTAGAGTTACCATGACATCGAATTTTCTTTTCTTGCATTTTCCCCATGCCATGGTGGGGATGAGAAGAGTAAAATTGCATTGAAGATTGGATTTGGTTTCTATTTCTAGGAGTTGCTAATAAAAAAAATTTCATACTAATCCTAGTGACCAGTTTATTCAGATGTGTTCTTGTTCACAAAACAATAAGATTATAAAAGGAGTCGATCCTGCTTTCTTCGAGTCTTGCACATTAGAAACTTTCATTTGAATTTGTTTTTGTAATTAGGTTGGGGAGGTCCGCCATGTCAAATTCAAATTTGCTAACTCTCTTGAGTTAGTGACAATTGTTCAGCATTTTAGAGTTCCATTTAAATCTTCTCAACTCATTTCGTTAGCCTTATTAGTATGTTTATATCAATATGTATTTTAACTAGTTTCATAGGTACACTCTTTGAGTTATTGATAAAAACACATCCTTCACCCTCTTTGCATGATCAGTGCTGAAGAGTTAGGGTTGATAAGTCATATTGACTAGAGTTACGTTCCAATTCTGCATGGTCATGTTTTCAAGTGATCCTCGTGCAGTCAAAAACTAAATTACTGGTCACAAAAGTTCAGATACTTATACTTTCTTGGAACTCTTTCAATGTGCAAGCTGGTTCACAGTCCCATATTTGCCGAGATAGTCCCTGAGAGGTCTCGTACCAGCATATATGCTTTGGATCAATCATTCGAGTCCATCCTATCATCATTTGCTCCCCCGATAGTAGGACTTTTGGCGCAGCACGTTTATGGTTTTAAGCCAGTTCCTAAAGGATCATCAGATTCTGTAGAGGTTGAAACAGATAGAGAAAACGCTGCATCACTTGCCAAGGCACTCTACACAGCAATGGGCATTCCGATGACACTCTGCGTTTTTATCTACTCCTTCCTTTACTGCACATACCCCAGAGACAGAGACCGGGCTAGAATGCAAGCATTAGCAGAATCCGAAATGCAGCAGCTGGAAACGAATTGTTCCCCTTCACGAGGAGAATACTCTGAAGTTCATGTTTCAGAATCAAAAATACCAAATGGAAATGAAAAAAGCGAAATTGACATCGAATATGGATTAGAGGAGGTCATTGATTTGGATGATAATGATGAGAAGTCCCTTCTTTCCGATCATCAAACATTCTCAAATCTGAAAGAATAGGGGATGTACAAAGCAGAAGCTGAATTTTGTTAATTGGCTTCGTGTAAACCAAATCAAGTGCAGAAAATTTGCATGCTTGGGTGGATGCTCATGAAATCTTTTTTAAGTTAACAACTAGAATGTCTGTCGTACCGCATTTTGTTATTTGTTACTAACACACTCAATGGTTTATTTTGAGGGTTTCCACAGATTTTAGAGCAACAATTTCAAAGGTTACCAGTTGATTATTGTTATAATCGTAACTGTTCATTCTTGTTGTAGATATAACCTCTTTAATTCCTTGATGGAGTTTATTTAAGCTCTCTTTAATAGAATTGTTAATGCAGTCATATAACTTATATTATATGGTCAAAGGGTCCTTACCGTTCACTTCCTAGGTATGCCTATTTGAATCTATACCTCTAATTTGAAAGTAAAATATTATTAGACCGTGATATTAATTGGTTAAATTTTGATTAGACATAATAGTTTGTGCTATTGCAATTTCGTAAGCGGATTTCATTATTTAGATCGAATTCTAGGGACTCAAAAGTCCACTTTATCCAAATTAAAACAATCATGACCACTGGTTCTTTGCTAGCTATTCATCAATCTTTAGCGGTTTTCCATCCTAGGAAATTCTAGAGTAGATTCATCCATGCATTGATTAAATTGTTACGAATTCGAAGAATTTAATAGGTGAATCTAAAGTACTTTAAAGGAGTTTTAACGAAATACTTCCGATATTGTTTATTTTAACGAAAAATCATATTTTTACGCTAAAAAGTCACTTCTGGTACTATTCACTTCCAACGCCTTTTTGTTATTTTGATTAAAACTCAAAGTTTTCAAGTTTTTTTTATTAGTTTTCCTTACTTTTTTAAATGCAATTTATATTATACATACACTCACGCTAATATATGAGATATTTCATCACACATTGATGATAGACTAATTTGCTTTTATATGTTGTCTCGATACCACATGAGACAGTAGCATACTTTTGATCATTGAGTCAAACTGGACTGAGAGTTCGAACTATGGTTTGGAGTTCTAAACCTTTGCTCGCTATCCATTAGACCAACCGAAAAAATGCAATTATAGTATACATTGATATAATGACTCTTCTTTTGTGTGGGAGGGGGAGGGGGAGGGAGAGGAAGAGAAAAAAAGACGAGGGGGGGGGGGGGATTTGCTCAGCTTAAGTGTGTGCGTGTGTGTGTGTGAGTGAGGGTAGGGTCATAGCTGTACAAGCACAAAGAGTGAGGATTCTCTCCTGAGCTAAGAGTGAGGATTCTCATGATCAAGTCTATTGGGCCGTTCAAATTTTATCCAATGGTTACAAACAGGGAATTCTTTTAAAAGTTATAATAATTGTAACCGTTGGATAAAATTTGAACTGCCCAATGAGCTTGGTCAGGAGGATCCTCACCCTTAGCTAGGATCCTGATCCCTTCTTTCTGTGCGTTTCTTTGAGCTTTTCACTGGGGGCAGACAATTGACAAATCTAATCAAATGGCAAATGGGTGCACACCAAGCTATCTAAAAGCAGTGCCTGCCCTGCCTGCCTCCTTGGCCTTCAACCCTTTGTTGCATGTCGGCCGTGCATCATCCGCGTGTGCTGCTCTCTGCACATACGCCTGCATCTCATTGTGTTCTTTTGAGTGAGGATTCTCGCTGGATTCTCTTTTTGAGGATTCCAAAGTTATTAAATCACATTCATTCATCATACATCGTGTGATCAAAAATTATTGTAAATTCTTTTATTTAAAATTGAATATAAATAGTACCTGACGAAAACTGACCGCAAGATGTACGATGAACGGATGTAATTGGAGGATCTCTGAGATCCTCACAAAGAGAATTCACTGAGGATCCTCACTCGTTCTTTCTGGGCAAAGCTTGAGGCATAATTGCCACTCACTCAACTAATATATCGAAATTTTCTTTTGTCAAACTGGTGTAGACATCGAAATTTCGGTGAAATAAATATTCACACAATCGATTAAAATTTCGACATGCCAGTACATATATGGCATGCGTCATGTGTCTCATAAATTGTACATATGGATGTAACTCATCAAAATTAGACGAGTCATACACGTGTCAACATTTGGCGAAAATAAATTATTTGATTTTAATTTAATTTAATCAAATATTAATTCATGTAGTCAAATCACGAACCGGCCCACAAATCGAGTCCTGGTTTTTTCGTCAATTAATCAAGCCCACAATTAAGGTAAAATCCATATTCCGTTAAGGCTTGGAGAGTCTATAAATAGGAGGCTCCAAGACAAAGAAAAGGGACCAGAATTCATTCAAGCACCTAGACACTGCCAAAGCTCAAGCACCCAAACCCTTAAAACACTTACAAGAATTCAGAAAGCTCTTTACGTTCTTCATCAAACCGTCGAAGAATCATCAAGCACTACTACCCGTGTTAATCCTTCAAATCCCCAAGAGCCAAAACCTCGCGACAACCGTGCATCCGAGATCAAGTCATCGCGACCATTGGATCAACAACCTACACATCCACACATATTTCAAAGATCAAATAAGAGGAAACTTGTAAATAGAGATTGTAACCCTACAAATTCATTAATACAAATATTTTTTGTACACGTATTATTTTTTCATTTGCTACAGGATTTTCGTGTTTACAACTGGTTATTATGTTTTACGACTATGAATTTGGCCATATCAAGGTGTATTTCATCCATTTCTCGATCTGGGTAATCTAAACTACAAGGAGAAATGTTCAAACTTGATTGCAGATAAATGAACATATTTTTCTAGTTAACTTGGTTAGACCCAAATATGTAGTATTTCATCCATTTCCCAACAAAGTGTGTATTAGAGGTCATGTGTTAGGAAGGATATCTTTGTTTAATGTCTTTATTAGATGTCAAGTGAGCATTCTACATTCCAAGTTTGAGGACCAAGAGTTGTGTTTAAAGCTTTGAAGAGTATTAATTAGGCCCATAACATTTCAACTGCCATCTTTACCATAATTACTTAGCTATTATTATGGGATAAAGGAAGCCATAAAAGGCCAATTATTTTCATTGTTCTTAGAGCACCTCCAGCGGGGGAGGTTGCTCGAGGGCCAGTGGATCAAACAGTAGCAAATTGTTGGGGGGATGACCTCCAGCGTAGGAAAGCCCGAGCGACAGGCGAGGCCCGAGGAGCAGGCCCGTCGAGGATTGCCAGCCCGAGAGCCCGAGGGCTGCGTCAGGCGCGCGCGTGGGCGCGAGTCATCCGACAAAAAAACAGGGCTGGGGCCCGCGAATTCAGTTTTGAAAAGTTACCGTTGGGGAAGCCACGTGGCTTCCCCATGTCTGTTCGATTGAAACGGTCCTATTTTATGGACCGTTGGATTTCCAACGGTAAAAAACATTTAAAAATCTCATTTAATTTCATCCGTTTGATCTAAGATCAACGGTCCACGTTATTAGGCTTTGTAAATTAAAAAAAAAGAAGAAAAAACAGTTTAAAAATCTAAAATGTTATCGTTGTGACACGTGGCACAATCTAGAGTGTTGGAATTCAAATTTTTTTAAATCCAACGGCAGAAATTAAATAGGTGAATAAAAATTTAAAAAAAATGTAAAAAAATTCTTAAAAATCTGAAAAAAAATAATGAAAAATTATAAAAAATTTTGATTTTACTTTTCTATAAATACCTTCTCATTATCTTCTACCCTACACCACAATTTCATATTTTCTCAACTACTTTCAACCACATTCCTATCTTTCTCTCAAAGTTTCAATCCAATTTTTTTCCAACAAAATGACTACTCAACTAGGTACGAATTGGACGCTTCTTGAAGATGTTGCGTTGTGTACTAGTTGGGTTCAAGTTACTCATGATTCGATTACGGGTAATGAGATGCAGTTGCGAGAAATGTGGAGTCTTATTCATACCAATTATCTTGAGAAAATGGGTGGGCAAAGAACTAAAGAATCGATGTCTAGTCGTTGGAAATTACTTAGTCAATCGTTTAGTACGTGGAGAAACGCCTTGGCACAAGCTAGTGGTAATCTTCGAAGTGGGGAAAATTTAGCGGATCAGGTAACAATATATTATTTATTTGTTTGTATTATTTGTTAGCTACTTTCATTATAATTATTTGTTTGTATTATTTATTTGTTATCTACTTTCATTATAATTATTTGGTTGTATTATTTATTTGTTACCTACTTTCATTATAATTATTTGTTAGCTACTTTCATTATATTTATTTGTTTGTATTATTTGTTACCTACTTTCATTATAATTATTTGTTAGCTACTTTCATTATAATTATTTGTTTGTATTATTTATTTGTTACATACTTTCATTATAATTATTTGTTTGTATTATTTATTTGTTACCTATTCTCATTATAATTATTTATTCTCCCACATTGTGTAGGAACTTCAAGCACAAGGTTATGTATTATTTTATAAATAAAAAAATACTAATATTTTATTGTCAATTGCCAGGGCTATTCAATGCAGGGGTGGAGATGCAAAAGGCAATTGCCAGGGGAATGCAATGTTCATTAAGGGCAGTTACTGTTCACTAGGTAGATTAAATAGTGAATAGCTTGGGGGGAGGGCTCCTACACTGGAGTTGCTCTTATTCTGGATGCTCGTGGGAATGAACAAATGTTTGTGTTTTACTTTAAGGATGAGGTAATGCTAGGGAGACTATCAATTTAAATTATATATTGTCAACTATATGACGTGGTTGTTGATGATTGGATTATCACTTTAGTGTTTATTAAAGTGCTTATTTCTATTGGTGACACATCACATAATTTGCAAATTTGATCTAAAAAATTGGTCTACCTAACCTCACTTTTAAAGAAAACACCTTAATAGTAGGTAACTTATAATACTTTTGACATCATGACGAGGCATCATCAAACAAACAACTCAAACGATCTACACGAAAACCCTTGCTCTACGCGATACTCTTCTCACACCCTTGAGAAGAAAAAAAAAAAAACTATCCTAAACTTTCCACTAACATATCTTCAGTTCCGGATAAGTGAACAACACTGAAGCCGTAGAACTTGAAAATTTAGAAGCATCTTCAATTCGGACAAGTGAACGACACTTCTTATGGTTAGTTGGTTATCTATCCAAATCTCGGTCGGTGAAGAGTTTCTAACTTTTTCACCAAATAGGTCACTTCATTAGCCTCCCAACGAAGTGAAATGTTTAGTATAAAAACGCTCACCTGTTTTGACTACCTGTACCCTTACAGCCTAATACCAATTTGACGCATCTATATTCTCACGAATATAGTTGAG